CATTAAACATGTAGATTGCTTTGTATAGCCATTTTTACTATGTTGATTCTACCGATCCATGAGCATGGGAGATCTCTCCACTTTCTGTAGTCTTCCTCGATCTCCTTCTTCAGGAGTTTATAGTTCTCCTTGTAGAGGTCATTCACATCCTTTGTTAAGTTTACTCCTAGATGTTTGATTTTTTTTAAGGCTATTGCAAATGGAATTGTTTCCATGTATTCTTTCTTGGTTTGTTCCTTATTGGTGCATAGAAAAGCTAATGATTTTTGTAAGTTGATTTTGTGTCCTGCTACCTTGCAGCTGTTTATGGTGTCTAGGAGCTTTTGGGTAGAGTTTTTTGGGTCTTTAAGGTATAGGGTCATACCATCTTCAAATGGGATATTTTGACTGTTTGTTTACCTATTTGTATTCCTTTTATTCCTTCTTCCTGCCTAATTGCTCTGGCTAGGAATTCTAGGACTATGTTGAATAGGAGTGAGGATAGTGGACACCCTTGTCTCGTTCATGATTTTAGGGGAATGGTTTCAGTTTTTCTCCATTAAGTATGATGTTGGCTATAGGTTTGTCACATATAGCCTTTACAATGTTGAGGTACATTCCTTCTATTCCTAGTTTTCTTAGAGCTTTTATCATGAAGTGATGTTGGATCTTGTTGAAGGCTTTTTCTACATCTATTGAGATGATCAAATGGTTTTTGTCTGTGGTTCTATTAATGTGCTGTATTACATTTGTAGATTTTCGTATGTTGAACCACCCCTGCATCCCTGGGATGAAGCCAACTTGGTCATGATGAATAATCTTTCTGATATGTTGTTGGATTTGGTTTGTCATTATTTTATTGAGTATTTCTGCATCAATGTTCATTAAGGAGCTTGGCCTGTAGTTCTCCTATAGTGTCTTTGTCTGGTTTGGGAATGAGAGTAATACTGGCTCATAGAATGAGTTAGGCAGTTTTCCTTCCCTTTCTATTTCATGGAACAGTTTAAGGAGGGTTGGTATTTGTTCTTTAAAGGTCTGATAGAATTCAGCAGAGAATCCATCATGTCCTGAACTTCTCTTTTTTGGGAGACTCTTGATTGCTGCTTCAATTTTGTTTTGTGTTATAGATCTATTCATGTGATTAATATCCTCTTGGTTCAGTTTTGGATATCATAGGTGTCTAGAAATCTGTCCATTTCTCCAAGATTTTCAAATTTATTAGATTATAGGCTTTCAAAGTAGTCTCTGATGATTTCCTGGATTTCCGTGGTGTTTGTTGTTATCTCCCTTTTTTGCATTTCTGATTTTACTGATTTGGGTTTGTTCTCTCCTCATTTTAGTCAGGTTTGCCAGGGGTCTGTCAATCTTGCTTATTTTTTCGAAGAAGCAACTTTTTGTTTCATTGATTCTTTGTATGTGTTTTTTGTTTGTTTGTTTCTATTTCATTGATTTTGACCCTTATTTTTATTTTTCTCTCCTTCTGCTTGTTTTGGGATTTGCTTGTTCTTGTTTTTCTAGGAGTTTGAGATGAAGCATTAAATCATTGATTTGCGATCTTTCTGTCCTTTTAATATAGACACTCATGGCTATAAACTTTCCTCTTAGGACTGCCTTTGCTGTGTCCCATAGGTTCTGGTAGGTCATGTTTTTATTTTCATTAACTTCCAGGAACCTTTTAATTTCCTCCTTTATTTCATTGATGACTCACTGATCATTGAGTAATGTGTTGTTCAGCTTCCAATTGCTTGTGTATTTTCTGCTGTTGTTTTTGTTGTTTAGTTCTAGTTTTAATGCATTGTGATCAGATAGAATGCATGGGATTATTTCTGTTTTCTTATATTTGCTGAGGCTTGATTTGTGCCCTAAGATATGATCAGTTTTGGAGAAGGGCTGCTGAGAAGATGTATATTGTGCAGAAGTTGGATAAAATATTCTGTAGACATCAGCTAGGTTCCATTTGATCTATGGTGTGATTTAGATCTAGGATTTCTTTATTGATTTTTTGTTTGGATGACCTATCTATTGGTGATAGGGTGGTATTAATGTCTCCCACTACCACTGTGTTGGAGTCTATATATGTTTTTAGGTCCTTCAGGGTATGTTTGATGAAATTGGGTGCATTGACATTGGGTGCATATAGGTTGATAATTGTTATTTCCTTTTGGTGTATTTCCCCTTTTATTAGTATGGAATGTCCTTCTTTATCTCATTTGATCAATGTAGGTTTGAAGTCTACTTTGTCCTAGGTAAGAATTTCTACTCCTTCCTGTTTTCAGGGGCCATTGCCTTGGTAAATCTTCTTCCAGCCTTTCATTCTAAGCCAGTGCTTGTTTCTGTCAATGAGATGGGCCTCCTGTAAACAACAGATTGTTGGATCTTCCTTTTTAATCCAGTTTGCCTAATGGTGCCTTTTGATTGTGGAATTAAGTCTGATAACATTCAGTGTTAGTATTGATAGGTATGTGGTGATCCCTGTCATGTAGGGTTTGATTGTGTGCAGCTGAATCAGTGTTACTCTCTACTTTCTTGCCTTTTCTTCTCCTGTGGTTTCGTACTGCCTGTCCTTTCATGGTTTCATTTCCTTCCATTTTGTGTGTGCAGAATTCCTTGAAGAATCTTTTGTAGTGGTGGCTTGGTGGTCATATATTGTTTTAGTTTCTGCTTATCATGGAAGACTTTATTGCTCCATCTATTTTGAATGATAGCTTTGCTGGATAGAGTATCCTAGGGTTGAAATTATTTTCATTCAGTGCCCAGAATACCTCACTCAATGCTCTTCTTGCTTTTAAGGTTTCTGTTGAGAAATCTGCTGTGGTTTTGATGGGTTTACCTTTGTGTGTTATTTGTTTTTTCTCTCTTGCAACCTTCAATATGCTTTCTCTATTCTCTGTACTTGTTGTTTTAATGATAATATGTCATGGGGTAGTTCTGTTTTGCTCAAGTCTGTTTGGTGTCCTGGAGACTTCCTGTACCTGAATGGGCATAGTTTTCTCTAGATTTGGAAAATTTCTGTTATTATTTTGTTGAATATATTATGAATTCCTTTTGCTTGCACCTCTTCTTCTTCTTCAATGCCCATGATTCTCAGGTTTGGTCTTTTGTTAGAGTTGGTGAGTTCTTGCATAATCCTTTCACAGGTTTTGAGTTGCTTGACTAATAGTTCTTCAGTTTTTCCTTTAATTTCTATTTCATCTTCAAGTTCTGAGATTCTGTCTTCTGCTTGTTCTAGTCTGCTGGAGTGGCCATCCATTTTCTTTGTATTTTTGTTTCATTCTTTTTTCTGAGGTTGTCCATATCATGGGTCACTTCCTCTTTAATATTGTCAATTTTCTTCCTTAATTCATTTATCTCTCTATTTGTGGTGTTCTGTTTCACTTTGGTATTTATTTAGGGCTCCTATGAGTTCATTTATTTGTTTTTGTGTCTTTTCATATTCTTTATTTTTGTTGTCTTGGAATTTTTTGAGTGCCTCCTGTACATTTTGGTTGACCATGTCTAGTAACATCTCCATGAAATTCTCAGTGATTTCTTGCAGGATTTCTTCTTTCAGGGTGTTCTTGTGGGCTTGGCATAGTCTACCTTTGTTTTGTTAGAGTCTGGAATTGGGTATCCGTTTTCTTCACTTCCCTCTGAATCCTGTACTAATTTATTGTTGGGGGGTGGGGGAGAATAGTTTCCATCCCTTTTTCGTCTGCCTATCATTCCCCTTGGTGCTGTTTCTGTCCCTAGTCTGTTGGTCTGCCTCTCCCAAGCAGGTCTGGAGCCAGCATCTAGCGGCGCAGGAGCCCTTCGTTTTTCTTAGTGTAACTTAGTGTGGCAAAGCTTTGTATGGGCTGGGAGCTCGAGGTGTCAGAGTTTTGCTTCTTCTTGGTGGTTTTTTCCTGCCAAGTGTGGCTCCAGTGTCTCAGTAAGATATTTGATTCACAGAGCTCATGCTGTCTGCTTCCTCCCTCTAGTCACCATCTTGGATCCTCCTCTTCATACTGATTTTTTGTAGTATGAAAAGTATTTAAGAAAATGATAAAGACATAAGCATAATTCAGGATTGAGGAAATCAGTAAAAACAGACTAAAGCTTTTCATAGACTCTTACCTATATTGGATTAGTTGCTGAGCACAATTACTTTTTATTAAATAATAGGTATGTATAAGAAATAACACTAGTCTAAGTTTTTTTTCATTTTTTGACTCAGTTTTTTATTGTTGTTGTTTTGTTTCTTTTTTTTTTCCCAGTACCGGCATTTGAACTCAGGGCCTTCACCTTGAGCCATTCCACCAGCCCTATTTTTGTGAAACGTTTTTTCAAGATAGGGTCTGGCAAAATATTTGCCCCGGCTGGCTTCAAACTGCGATCTTCCTGATCTCTTGCTCCTGAGTAGCTAGGATTATAGGCCAGCAGCTCAATTTTTAATTTTAATTTCAACAGTAAAATGCACAGAGACATATTTTTTCCTGTGGTTTAGCCAAACAAAATTGTTTTTATTTCACTATAGCAAAATACACCCTACAAAAATACCTTACTAATGTAACATAATGAGCCAATACTTTCTGGCGAAAGAAAGGAGTTAGTTAGATGGTTTATGGACAGAGTTTCAAGTGGACTTTCATTTTTTATGTTAAGGAAATTTACATACTATTCTAATAAAAATGTATGTTTATATATAACTGTTTCCAACTATTTTCCATCAAATATAATTGCCACAATTCCAGAAGTTATGTTTTCCTTTTTGTATATCCATCATCTTGCCTAGTAAAGGTTGGGGGGTGTTCCATTTCAGTAAAGGGCCAGATAGAAACTAAATATTTCAGACTTTGCATTCCTATGTTCTTGGTTCCAACTCTTCTACCACTGTAGTGTAAAAATCATTTATGTCAAATGCCGTGCAGAGTGTTGAAATACAAGTTGTATAACAATGCCTGCCACAAAAATTTCTTTTGGTCTAAAAAAAGATTTCACAAGTTTTGTAGGGGTCATGGTACATGTACACCTTTACTCACTTAGAGGTATCTTTCTCTTTGCAGATCTGTCCAACTCAATGGTCAAACTCTGAAGATGGTGGATGATCAAACCCTGCCAGCTTTGTCAGAAAAAGCTCTCCGTCCAGGAAGTGCATTAGGCTTGCCCCCTTTCTCCTATGGGTTTTTCGTGATAAGAAATGCCAAAGTTGCTGCCTGTATATGAAAACAAATGTCTAGCCCTGAGATGAACTATTTCAAAAGTATTGGTAAGAGGAAAGCAAAACTCAAGCCATAGAAAGGCAAGCAGATTTGTTACAAATCAACCAGTGGGAGCCTCAGAAACACCGGGACTCTCTCATTGCAAATTTAGCTCAGAATTTTGATGTCTAAGTAGAACACTGCTAATAATGGTAGCTAATTAAACCATGTGCCAAACACTATGCTTAGCACTTTGCGTGTACTATTTTTAAGGTTATTAAAAATGTATAAGAATATTCCCAGTATGGCTGGGAGGCAAATTGGTGAAGGATACATTTTTAGATTTAAGAAAGTGCTTATTTTTATTTTTAAAAACTACTCGAAGGTTGTCAGATGCTCGCCTCCCTCTGCCATCTGTACAGGCTCCCAAGGGGGAGAAGTTTACTGCCAGAACTTGAAGCTGGTTGTAAAAAAGGAGCTACCTGCTTACACCAGAGCAGGAGCTACATTCAGCTGCTACTTCTCTCTGCTCGTGTATCTTTTTCAGAAACAGTTTGTGAGAGGACAGATGATTAGATGAGATAGCATCCCCCAAAAAATGGTGAATGACAATTCAGAGGGAAGGTATTATGTAAACTTCAAATAAGGTGTTAAAATGATTGTGCATGAAATTGACTTACTAAAAGCAGAAACTTTAGAAAATGTCCACTACATCATAACCATCTGTTAATGTTTAGTTTTCCCTCCTGTTAGTTCTTGTTTCATTTTGAAAACTTTGTGCTACAAGTGACAGAAAATCCTGATTTAAATGGCTTAGAAGACAAGGAAATTTACAACCCCACATAACAACAGATTCAAGTAGGGCAGGTTCAGACAACTGTGTAGATTTTTCCCTTTATCTGCTCAGCCTTCTTCAGTGCTGGTTTCATTCTGGGGCTAGTAGCATGGTGGCTGTGGCTGTTCCATGGACCCTTTCAGACCTGGTAGCATCCAGAAGAAGATGAACAATTTTTTTCTGTCCCCTCAGACTTGAACTCTTTCTCAGAGGTTCTCCCAGCAAAACTTTCTTCATGTCTTATTGGTCAGAAATAGGTCATGTGGTCTTTTCACCAATCCCTGCCCGTAACCATGAGGTGCCTATAATTGTCTTCTGGTTATCCTCTTTTGAAGAGGAGAAGTTTTGGGGGAGTCCACAGCACTAGACATGACAATTCTATACATTTAGCAGTGACAAAGTATATTATTTTTCTCCTATATTTTAATCCACTTAAGGATTACTATCCGTTATATTTATGCCTGCTATAACTATTATCTCCAATTTAAGTTCATTTATAAAGTTAGAATTTAAAGTTTGGATGCCTCAATACCCTAAAATTTTATATGTAAGTAGTTGTTATATTTTCACATTTGAAATAAAATAATTTTATACCCTTAATATTGCATGCTTATTCTTTTAATAAAGCTAGAACCCACAGATTCTTGTACTTGAAAGCTTTGTTTTTCTGGGTTGGGGGTATGACCTGGTGGTAGAATCCTGGTCACCAGCACTGGGAAAAACAAAAAACAAGCCTTGCCTTCCTTCACTGTTTTCTCCAAACCTCCTGCCTTTATCTGTCCTTTCAGCCTCCCCAGCACCAAAGTACTTGAAGAAGAGGGACCATCAGGCATAAACACAATTTTCTACCTCATTATATAGATTCTATTACAATCAAAGTTCTTTCTTGTCTGTTTTTCTTTTCCCTGTCCCCTCTTCCACTTAAAAATATTCAAGAATAATTTTTCACTTGTATTATAATAATATTCTAGTTATTCACTGAGTTTTTAAAAAATTCTTAAATAACTCCCATTTCTTTTAGGCACATAAGGTTCTCCAAACCCTGGCACCTGCCTTTTTCTTCAGGCTTAACCCTTGTCACTTTACTCATGAATTTTGTTTGCCAAGTACACATGAGTTGAGAAGCCTGAACACACATGCTCTTATACCTTTTGCTCCTATCCTTTTGTGCTGCTCTTTCCCTCATCCTGATCCAGTTCTCCTGTCTAGGCGGCAAACATTCATGTTCATGAAGATACAGCTCAGACATTAATTGTGATGGTTCCTCTATCACTCAAGTAGCATTCATTATTTTTCTTTGCTTCCACAGCACTTTCAACATTTACTGTGCACTAATGATGCGTCTTAATTGTAGCCACAAATCTGTCTTGCTTGACTTGAGGTTTACTAGGAACAGGTTCAGTATCTTAATCATCTTTCATTCTCTGTGCTGGGCATTTTATCTGGCATATGGTAACTGTTCAGATGTCTTCTTAATGACATCTTAATGAGCATTCAAATTTGAAACTTGGCTGACTTATTTTGATTTTGTTCCGAAAAATCTAATGACATTTCCAAAAGAAGGTTTCTGCTATATCTCTAAAAATCTCTTGTTTAAATTAAGATTTGGGATGTTCTTCAAGTGGTTGAGTGACTACTAGCAAGCATGAAACCCTGGGGTCAAACCCCAGTACTGCCAAAAAAATTGTTTGTAAGTTGTTCCTAATGGTGTGTGGTCACGTGAAGAACTGAAGGCATGGTTATGTGAAGAAGGTATATTAAACGCAATAATACTAGCCAGATGTGGTGTACACTTGTAATCCCAGTACTCAGGAGGCTGAGGCAGAAGGATCTCAAGTTGGAGGCCCATCTGGGGTTTAGAGCAAGTTCAAGGTCAACCTAGGCTACAAAACAAGATGCTATCTCCAAAAAGAATGTAATGTTAAGGTGTCCTTAGATTTCCTTTTCAGTCATGTCACTGACTTTGGGGCCCGTACCTCTCTATTAGCATATGTATCCTAAGGCTCAAAATTATTTTTGTCCTTTAGTTTTGCCCGTGTGGTTCACTTTATCTCCATGAAAATGAGAATTTCCAAGTCCAGGTGAAATTTGTGTGTTCAGGGCTTGTCAGTTTTGTAGTTGGACTCATTTTTTAAAAATTATGTAGCCAGTCCTGTCACTGGATACTAGCTAAAGAATGGAAAAGAATGAGCCCACTGGACCTTCCTACCTGTTGCTCATGTCTAGCCAGTCCATGCAGCATCTGTACGGTCTGCTAGCTTTACTCCTGATTTAATGCTTTCCCAGCTTTTAAAACACTAATCTTTGTGGCTTTCTCATGCTACTTTGAACTCTTCCACCAAGGCACTGTGGTTTAGGACATTCTTAAAGCTTTTGTGGAAATCAGCCATGTAATTCAGTCAAACCAGAAAAATTTGACGCTATTTTTAGGAATCTAAAAATAGGGGAAATAGAGTGACTGAAAAGGTACCTACAAAAGTCATCAGGGGGAAGTGTTATTGATAGTAGTGAAAAATGAAAATCATCTAAGTGCCTGAGAGAATGGTTAAATAGTCATGGTACCAATAAATGAGTGACTATTTTACAGTCCTTAACAACCATGTTTTGGAAGAATAGGGAATGACAGAGAAAATGCTCAGAGTACTCAGTTCTTTAGAGCTGAGAAAGCTTGCTACATGAAGGCTATACTTAGTAGTCACAGGAAAGTCAAATTCCTCTGATATATGCAATAATATGTTCAGAACAATTGTGTCAGTTGCAATTAAAATCCAGATTTTGTGTTTGATATTGGGCATATGGAGTTTGAACTCAGGTCCTTGAGCTTGCCAAGCAAGTGGTTTACTACCTGAGCCTTTCCCAGCCCCTTTTGAACTGGTTATTTTTCTAATAGGTCTCGCTTTATGCCCCTGGGGCAGGCGTGGACCATCATCCTCCTATTGTGCTTCCCCACATAGCTGGGATAACAAGTGCATGCCATCCTGTTCAGCTGTTGGTTGATATGCATCTCTACTTTTTGCCTGAGTTGGCCTCACAAACCCTGCTTCTTCTGATCTCCGCTTTCCACGTAGGTACAATTACAGCTCGAGCCAACACACCTGGCTAAAATCCAGATGTTGATATTTCCAGATTTGTTCTCTTTACATCAGTATATATATATATATATATATATATATATATATATATATACTCTTACCATGTAAAAGGCACTGTGCCAGCTGCTGCAAGGAATATGTCCAGTGGTTACTTTTCATTTCTTATTGTTAACCCTGTTGGCCACTTTCTCTCCTTGAAATCATCCTCTTGAGTTCCTCAACACATTCTCCTGGTTTTCCATTTACCGCTCTTGCTGCTTCTTCTCTGTACTTTTTTTGGGTCCCTGTTTCTCTGCTTGTCTCTATCCAGTGCAGTCTCTTGAGAGACAATCCCAACTCTCTTCCTGGAGTGTTATCATACCTACAGTATCAAGAAAGGACCTTGCTCTCTTTTGTGATGTTACTTTTTTTTTATTTTGCTTTTGAATTAGCATACATTCATAATACAAGAGGACTTCATTGTGATAATTCCACACATGTGTACAGTGTACTTTGAACAACTTCACCCCCTCCATTATATTCCCATTCCTCTCTCTCTTCCCCCCCACCCTTTATTTCAGTTCTGGGGTTTGAACTCAGGGCCTCACACTTGCTAGGCAGACACCCTATCACTTGAGCTGTCTCCAGCCCTTCCTTCCTCTTTTTCAAACAGTGTTTGGTGGGTTTCATTATACTGTTTTCATAACATTTTTAATATTTATGTTTATTAACTTTATCTTGAATGTGAACATAAAGTGTTCAGAACAGAGACAAAGTAGCATTTTTTCATTCCTCATTATCAATTTATTTCCTTCTCTGTATACATTTATATACATATTTATAGAAAGATGCACAATTATATAGATTCATCTTAGACATAGCTAGAAACATATATGTATGTATTTATTGGCTCTGTATATTATATATATGTTTACAAAACTCCACATATTTATACATGTCTTAATATATATACCTATCTAAGATATAAATATACATTTATGAATATGCACATAAAAACATTTTTATATTTGTGTAATAGACACATACATAAAAATAAACTTTTATAGAGACAGACACATATATAATATGGAGACAATTTATACATAATTACAGATAGTATACATATACATACAAAAGAGAAATTTATATACCTATATATAAATACACACATACAAAAGACATTTGTACATACAAATATATAAACAATTGCTTGTATATATATACACACACACAAATGAAAGCAACTTACACAATCGACTAATACACATACCCAAAAAAAAAATCTTGTAAATTGCCACTCTTCCATCCAATAATATGTGAGTTCCCAACTTAAGAATTACCAACAGGATTTTGTTTGTTCCTTTGGTTTGCTAAAGTATTTTCAAAAGGTCACTCCTTTTCTTCTTTTCTTTCTTCTCTTCTCTTTTCTCTCTTCTCTTCTCTTCTTTTCTCTCTCTCTCTCTCCCTCCCTCCCTCCTTGCCTCCCTCCCTTCCTTCCTTCCTTCCTTCCTTCCTTCCTTCCTTCCTTCCTTCCTTCCTTCCTTCCTTCCTTCCTTCCTCCCTCCCTCCCTCCCTTCCTTCCTTCCTTCTGGTGCTGCAGGTGGAGTCCAGAGCCTTATACATGCTACACCAGTTCTCCACCACTGAGCTACATCCTCAGGTGAAGGTGATTTTTCTTTGTTAAAGTATTTCCACCAGGTCTTCTGTGTTAACTCATCTTTCTGATTGTATCAAAGTTCAGGTTTGCTTATCTTCGTTAGAACCAGTAGGCCACAATCACACAGATCTTTAGCATCTCTTCAGAGTCCTCTCCACTTTGACCAAGAACAATCATTTGGGGTATTTTCCATTTCCTCATGAGCCACTGTTGGTGGAAGTAAGCATTCCAGGACTTATGATGGGTCCCCCAGTAGCTACCTGGTATTAATTATTCTCATGACAAAGGATTGCCTCCAAGAGCAAATCTTGCACCTGAGCTATTGAGACTCCTTTGCCACTGTGAGTGGAGTCCAGAGATTGTCCCCTGGGCACCACCTCAACTTGCTTAAGTTTTCTCAGTAAAAAGCCTGGCCTGAGAATGTGATCTGAAACTAATTTTGTTACTAAAGGCAATGCAATATTTAACAGCAGGATGCCATTTTCAGTGTTAACTAATGTGTTTCTTTCCCAGAACTGCTATATCAAAGTGCTATAAACATTTTTTTCAGTACTGGAGATTGAACCCAGGTCCTCACACTTGCTAGTCAAGCACTCTACCACTTGAACCACGGACACCCTCTTTTTTGTTTTATTTTTTTTTTATTTTGTGTCTTGATAACTTTTCCCAGGCTAGCCTTGAACTTGTGATCCTCTGGCCTCTGCCTCCTGAGTAGCTGGAATTACAAACATGCCCCACCATCAATTTGGTGGCTTCAAACAGCACTGATTTATTCTCTTATATTTGTAAATGCCTGAAGTCTGAAATCAATTGCTCTGGGCTTCAGTTGGGCTTG